TATGGAAAAATGCCTCAATTACATGATGTGTGAGCGAAGGCAAGCGATGTTCGTGAGTGACTGAATGTTTTTGTTGGCTCTTTCATTGACTCGTCCTTTACCGTTTGGTACGAACGGTCGCACAGAGCAATGCATTGAATAGTGCAGTGCTTTCACACTCAGCCTAGACAGTCAATAATTTTACGCTCTGCCTCTGGCTGCTTTGTTTATGTATTTGTCGATTCAATTTTGGAGTCGGTAAAGTAGAAGTCGATAAAGTAGAATATTGTAGAACATTGAACTAGGATGTGCAAGACTATTGATAACTCCATAGAATCCATGTGTGTCATAATTCATATCAATAGTGTTCAGGCATGGTTCACAGCATAAGATTTACACATGAAATGGATGTGTTTCACAATAAGTGCAAAATTAAGTGTGAGAAACATGATGATGACGTGTGGAACTTTTTGAGTGTAGGTCACTCATGCGCTGAGTGACCTACGGACAGGCATGGAAAATCATTTGCATTCATTTCATACATTCATTTATCTTCATTTGCCTCTAACTTTTTTCTTCAACAGCATTCCGCAAAATGATGTACAGAGCTTTTGTAGGTTTTATTATTAGCTACAACTTTTGTTAGTAAGTCAAATCCGTATCTCTTATGCACGACGAAGCAGAGCGAACAGAAAACACTACTGTTTTTCAGTGAATGTATTTTACATTCACTGAAAAACAGTAACAAGTTGTGCCCGCTCTAGTTCGTGATGCATAAGAGATACAGATTTGAGTTATGAGCAAAACTTGTAGTTAATAACAAAACCTACAAAGGCTGTATACATCATTTTGCGAAATGCTGTTGATGAAAAACATTAGAAATTCACTTGCACACTTGCACCTCGTAGACTCCACTAAAAATATGCAAATGTTTTTGTTGATATCTCTGTCATTTTTCGTACAAATTTTATTTGTCTTTAGGTTTTTTGAAAAGTATTGAACAAAACTTTCTTGGTAGGTATTTTTTTCATGATATTTTTAAAATCTTGTATACTAAAACTTCAACTAAAGTTACAAATTAAAACGTTCAATATCTTTCAAAAGACCTAAAGATAAATAAAGCAGGATGGAAAATGACAGATAAAAAAAAATCGCATATGTTTCTGAGAGGTGACCCCAAACTAATGATCGGAAGTGTATATTAAAAAATATTTGATTGATCCATTACACATCCGTTTTACAGTCATCCCACAATTATGGGTTAACTAATACTAATTATGAATCTGTCAGTCCAGCGTGTAAGTCAACTGGAAGTGATCCTCAAATGTGGAGTGATTGTAAGAAATATATTAAGTATCAAGTTAATGATTTCTGAAACAATTTCTTTATTAAATTTCTCATTGTTTACAATTCGGTCTAATGAACCATTTAGCTCAATTGCATTCGGGAAAGGTGACCATAAAAATATCCCATGAATCAGTTGCTCACTAAGTTCTCAGGATTTGCAAACAAAAGACGACTCAAGCTTAGGAAAGGGAAAATTTATTTACTTTCGGTTATCCAATATGTTTAAGGTTATGTAACTAGGCCGAACGCTATTGAGCTGAATGGATCATTTGGCCGAATTGTAAGGTGTGAAAGGTAGATTTAAAAAAAATATGTAAGAATTCACAATTACAATTTACAAAACCGCAGATTAGAAAGAAATATTTTAGTCCTGGAAAGTTTTCAAGGCTCTGCAACTTGGAATATTGTTCAGTGTTGCAGCAATTAAAAAAATCCATAGAATTCTGAGAAGAAGTCCGATGGATCTCTTAGGAGAATTTAAAAGGAACCAAAGTGATCATGAGATATGATGAGAAGAATAACTACAAAATTCTGGTATACATCCTAAGGGAGTTCTGACCAGATTATATTATTTTGAAATTTATGAAATAATGTATCAATGAATTCCAAAATAAATTCCAAGGTGATTCCCCTTGTAAAACTGTATGGGGATCGTGAAGAGAATTTTAAGTGAGTTTTAAGAATAACTCTAAGTGAATTTTGGTGAGAATTCAAGGGTAACTATTAACATAATGTATAGGGTGTTCAAAGGAATATTTTAAAAGAAATGCATTCAGGAAGGTTCCTGAAGAGAGTTTTCAGTCTAGCCTAGTCTAGTCCAGAGCTAGCAATTGTCATTTTCAATGAAAGATCTCATGCGATATTTACAGAGATACTTCTTTCACTATAATCGGATAAGAAAATTATGATAGAGATTTTCTTCAAAATCTCATCGTATTTGTTGTCATGACAGAACGTGACAGTGTTGTGACCATCGTAATTAGTAGCTCATTTATTGCTATTATAGTTACTTGCACTGAAGAAATCTTAATAATATATTCACTAGGATGGGACACGGCTATATTAAAAAAAAAATAATTTTCGTTCCAGTATGATTTCCGGGCGCCTTCTAGTTCCTAAAATAACAGTGTAGAATTTCAGGTCGGTCGGTGGAACTATATTTTAGCGCCAGCGGTTTTAATTTCATATAGGATTTTCTATGGGAAAACTTACTTTTTCAAATAAAAATCTGGTGAGGTCACCCATTGTCCTCTAAAAATATATCAACCCAAATTCTCCCTAGGAAATTTTACAAGGAAACTTTTCTTCGAATACCGCAAAACGATCCAACGCTTGTGGAAAAAGTTATTTAGCCATTACTGATTGCTAACCAAACGAACTGCTCATTATTCTTTTTTTCTAGCAGCACTGCCAGCTGCCGCCTGCTGCTGTCTGCGCGAGGCAGTCACGTTGTGTGGGGGTTCACTCAGCATGGAGGAAAGCCGATATTATGCGCAAAGAATCTTCGATTTTGATGAAACTTTACACAGGTTTCCGGTATAGTACAACAATTATGTTTCACGGGGGTCATTTGGAAACAAGAGTGATTTTTCACAAGGGAGTATTTGCTTTGGCGCAGAATTTATTCAAACCTTATCAGTCGATGTGCTGCTGCTCAGACTTCAATATTTCACCGGATTCATTTTTCGGTGGTACTCCACAACTTGCAGTAGGTATTCATGTTGTTCGGTATTCTTGGTTACCGAGTTGTTGAAGTCGGAAACAAGCTTTACGGCCCTTTCCGCGACAACATTCACAACCCCAAGAGCTTGAACTCGCTGCTGCGCTGTTAAGTAGAAAAGAACAACCGTCACTTTCAACAATTTTAAAGCACTTTTTTTGTTCGAAATCGAAACAATGTTTATCAAAATATATCACTCTCTTTCGGTTGGTAACAGTGAATACATTTTCAGTATTAGATTGGCACATTGGCACATTGGCAGTGCTGCTAAAAAAAAAAGAATAATGAGCAGTTCGTTTAGTTAGCAATCAGTAATGGCTAAAAAACTTTTTCCACAAGTGTTGGATCGTTTTGCGGTATTGGAAGAAAAGTTCCCTTGTAAAATTTCCTAGGGAGAATTTGGGTTGATATATTTTTAGAGGACAATGGGTGACCTCACAAGATTTTTATTTGAAAAGTAAGTTTTCCCATAGAAAATCCTATGTAAAATTAGAACCGCTGGCGCTAAAATACAGTTCCACCGACCGACCTGAAATTCTACACTGTTATTTTAGGACCCAGAAGGCGCCCGGAAATCATAGTGGAACTGGAATTTGAATTTTGTCCAACCCTAATATTCACCCTACCGACTACATACGGTTGCTTGCTTAAATTCATCTAAATCAGTTAGAAATGTTGATGTCAAAACCGCATAAGAATTATTCTCATGAGTGCTTGACCATTGGAAAATGATATGAATGTTAATGACAGGTATTTTCGCCTCGTGATAGTGAGAGGACCTGTTTTCTCATTGTCACATGACGGTTGTGATATTTACCAGCTCTGGTCTAGTCTAGTCTATTCAACAATACTAGGATTCTCAAGGAGAGTTTTGATTTAAATTTTGAGAACATTTTCAAAGGATTTGAATTCTCAGGATAATATAAAAAGAATTCTATTGAGGTTTCCGAGGAAATTCTTAGGGGAGTTTCAAGATAAAAATTTCAAGCATATTTAGAGGTACGAGAAGAGCTCTAAGGATATTTTCTTGCAAATTTAAGGACAATTGGATGATGATTCAGACCAGAATTCCATGGTAATTATGGAAAAAATAGTATGTTGATTTTAAAATGGTTAACAATTTGAAAAAGAAACGCATAAAGTTGATAAATCTGCATGACTCAGGGATCATAGCGATTTCAGATTTTTTTTTTCACATACTATAAGTTCGAGCAAAACAACACACCACCAGTTAGAATAAACGTGTACATTGTAAGCTTTTAAAGTTTATTGATTTTTTCGGTTCTCCAGTTGAATTCCCGAGTTTTTCCCGATACCATTTCAAATTCCAGGTTTTCCCGGCTCACTGGCCACCCTGTTTATTTTTTTTTTAAGTTTTAGATTTCGTTTCGATACAGTATTATTCCATATTCCAATATCAAAGTTAAATCTCTTACTTTCCACAATTCAAACTAATGGTTCAGTCCGAAAATATTAATTCTGTAACTCTGGTTAGGATAGGCTGAAGAGGTGAAGAGTAGATTAATTAGTGGGATCAAACGGATTTAAAAAATATATGGAAAACAATATGTAAGGATAAAAAGGGCTAATAAACATCCTCTCACGATGTTAAAAAAGGTATTTAAAAAGTATTCCAATTCTTGAATTTGAAAAATTATCAATAATTTGTTAGTCTTACAGTTTACAAAACTGCATGCATGTGGATTTCATGCTAAAATATAATATAAAACGATTGAAATACACTTTAACGTATTGATTCAGCTCCTTATTTCAAGTTTTGTTTATTTATTACGAATCGATCAAATGCGATTGGACTTTTTGAAATGTTCATCTAAATTATCGTTTTTGGGCGCGGTAATTTCGTGATTAATAGCTAAAAATGAAATTGTTTTGCAATACTGCATAAACACTTTAGTCAGTGAAAATTTATGTAGACGAGATTGTTATTGCGTACCTGACGAAAAGCTGCTCTTGATTGTTGACACGCCAGGATACTACTGTTGCACCTGAAAATGAAAGAAAGCAATGTGATATCAGTGAATAATAATCTAGTTTCGAAAAATATTTGATAACGATCACAGCACGTACACGTCGGTGTCCTCTGAGACCGAAACACGTAAGCGTCACTTATAAAGCATTAATTGATAAGATTCGTTGAATTCAGTACAATAAACTGTATTTTGCTACACATAAAAAAATCTGAATTTTAACTATCGCGTAAAATCGCCCTCCGTTTAATTTTGAGCTAAAGTTGACATAAACAACGAAATCGTTAACAAGATTGCAGTGATAATGCGCTTAAATTTACAAGAAAAAATCGCGTAAATTTACGCCAAATCTAGCGTTAATTTTATGTGCACTATATATTGCCCGAAATTTACATGGATTTTTCAAACGGTGTACGAGCAAAGCACATTTCGGTCGTGGACAGATTTGTCACGTGAAAGATGAATTCCGTCACGAGTAAAATCAATTATTTCTTAGTGTTCCAGTTATCCACTAAGGTAGCATGCATTAAGCACGTCACGAAAAGTTCCTCCCCTTTTAAAGTGAGACGTACTTAATAGATCTCCTCTATGATCAATTTGAAGGACTTCTTCTTCACAATACTATGAAAAATTGCAAAATGCCCAATAACTTATAACGAAAATTTAAAAACAAAAGATTAACCTACCAAATACTTCCCCAAACTCAATTCCACTCATTCCAAATAATAATCGTGAAACCCAGTGTCATCAAGCCGAAAACGATTATTGTTGCTTCCCATGCGAACGGCTGCTACCATCCAAGGTCTTCCGTTCCAAGTAGTAGCATATACAGCGCGGCGGCAGCAGCAACATGTGCGAAGCTGCTGCTGTTGCTGCCATCATCATCATCATCATCATCCGTTAGCTCGTTGTTGGCGTCGATCTCGTTGATCCGTCCAAAAGGAAAGCAAAACCGAAGAAAACTACCATTCGTAAGAAGAGTAGGCATTTTTCTCATTTTGCGACGATTAAGGAGATGTGTTCTTCTGCGTTTTGGATCGGACGACGAAACTCTTGGGATTTTCGTCCACTTAGGCCCAGGTTCGAGAAGCAAAACAGGAAGAAGGGCATATCGGAGCTCTCAGAAGAGCCGTCATAATTAATTCATTAATGAAACTGCGCGCCTTTTCGCCGACGAGTGCGGTACGATACAGCAGGGTTCAAAAGATGATGGAGCGGACGGAGCTGCGAGCAGAAGGAAATCGGAATTGTACTGTACGGCGGAGACGGCTTCGGGTAATAATAAAAATAAGACAAAGTATGAAATCGTGAGCACATGTGCGGATTCTTGTGAAACATGTGAGTAGCAGCCGCCACCGTCGTCGTCGACGTCGTCGTTTTGAGTCGCCACTAACTGAGCAGAGCTCAATGAGCGGTCCTCCTCCGAGCCAGAACAGAGCGTAAAAGGGAAATTTCAAGTGTTTATTGTACCATTATATGAATGAGAAGCGCAACAGTTGGTTTTTGTGGGATGGTAGAATATTGAATTGACTCTCCGGAGTGTGTCAATGGGGACTCGTCGACAACAGACATGCTAATTTGTGTAGATGTGTGAACCAATGAACAGGTACCTACAAAATGTTATCTGAATACAATCAGAGCCACGACTGGTGAGAATATTCAAGTTCAATGCTGCATTCGAAAGGAGCCGAGTCGTGAAATGCAATTATCCACCGCATACAGTGTAAGCATTGCGTGATTGTTTGTAACGAATTAGTGTTGAACATCTGATTAGCATTCATTTGCATACTGCTTACAGTGCATTCCGAAAAGGTGTCGATAGATTGTTCATCTCGCGCAACGGTACTAAATTACCAGTTCGAGGAGCTTTTCACCGTTCGTAATTTACAAATAATGACTGCTGAATGCTTGTTAATCTTCTGCTACATGAAGCAATCTTAGATTAAATTGACAGACATGTTAATGCTATTTCTGCTATCTTAAATCATCAGCTTCTTTTCTTATCTAATCTAATCTCACACCTATCACTGAACAAACAAATTTCCGAATGCATGCACAGTCTTATTTCATTCCAAAATTCATTTGTGAACCTTTGCTTTTTTGTAATATGTTAAAATAATTGATTCTGTTCACTGACAAAACGTTTATCCTGTACTATGTAAAGCCAAGAGAAGCCTCATTAGAATGTACAGAGCTGTCCTCGCCTAGCACTTGGGTTAGGCATGCTCGAAAGATTATCACCCATATTATCGTTTACGTTCGAGCCGTATTTTTCATAAAAAAAGGTTTTTGCATGGAAAATACGGTTCGAACGTAAACGAGAATTCTACGATTAACAAAGACGATCGATAATTAAAATGTGCGTCAACCATAAGTCAACACACCAAATCGGAGAAGTTAAGATTTTGCTAAAGTTTTGTTATAGTGATGATTAGTGAAACCCATAAGGAATCAATCGAATATCTATGTAGATTGTTATCGCTGGATTAATTTACTGTATTTGTTGCTTGATTTGGGTGTGCAATGTACATGCTTACTATGTACATCTAGCCCCCAAAATATTCGTCACTCAGTCTGCCCCAACTTGCTCAACTCGTTGCTATTCGAACGATCGTCGTCGTAGACGGATTAGATTGAGCGCCCCACCTCCTCACCCCACACAACCGACCGTCATCGTCGTCGGACCCAAACAGCAATGACATTGAAGTTTACATTCACCACGCAAATCGACAAATAATAATAATAATAACGAGCGAGCAAGCGAGAGAACAGCATAGCTAGGTTGTCTGCTGCAGTCTCACATGTGCCTTGGGAGTCGTACGTAGGGTATGGTGGGATAATACATACCACGGCGTAATATGACCAACAGTGTTGATTTATGGCTTTGTTCAACATCGATTCAAAAGTGTTTCAACCAGAATTACTAGATGAGCTGCTTAGCTTGAAAATCTCATATTACCCGGTGGTGCGTATTACACCCAGTTCCCCTACCTACAACACATCGACCACGAACGGAAAGGTGGCCCGCGCCGATGAACGATAGGAAAGTGACGAAGGCTTATTTGAAGTCCCTCAGACAACACAGGCAGGCAGGGGTAAGTAGACTGCAGCAGCTAACAAATTGCTGAAAACTAGCACTCACTGAGCAGGGACTGGTTTTGAATAACTAGAAGGTCCTAAACACACGAAACTGAGCTACAGCTAAGTAGATGGTATTGGACTTGTTCAAGTGATAAACAAAAATACAATAAATTCATTATTTAAGCGTACAAGTGGACATCAAAATAGTTTAAATAATTGTTTTGTTTTTTGTTATTGGTGTTTAAAATGCGATTTTAATTTCCAAACCCCCAAGGTCTGATACTGAAAAAATGATAAAACTATCGTAGCTCCGTCATTTCTGAACAGATTTTTTTTATCTATCCAACATAAAACAGTCCTCAAGTTTTGATGAGGTTTAAAAATATTTTGAATTAAAAAACGATAGTTTTTTTTTAAAGTTGGAGGTTTGAGAGTTAAAAGGCGTATTTGACGACGCCAACTTTTGTAACACGAGCACTCACGCGTTCTTCAAAATACAGCAGTATTTTATTTTCACCTTAAGGACAGTTCTTGAAATCTGATATTCACCTAAATATTCTCAACTTGACTCAATTATGAAAAATAGATTTCCTGATATTCCCTGATTTCCCAGTCGTTTTTCTAAAAAAGTTTAAATGAGTAAAAGAAATAAAGAAAATTAAAAAAATAAATTAAATTAATAAGATTGAAGTGAATCTACAGATTTGACACTAAACTTTACTGGAAAATAATTTTTACACATTGAGGATGATTGCTAGTCCCAAGCATCAGGATTTTCCAGTAATCAAAGGATCAAATTTTAGTCCTTGTTACTTTTTTATGATTTGACAATAGTGACAAGACTCGGGTAGTGACCACCGCACCGTTCTGCATTTCTATATTGTATATTTCAAATCAAAAATATTGTTTATGTTCATAGATTTCACATAATTCTTTTCCCTTTGTCCTTCTCCTTTTTCTTTTCCTCTTCTCTTTTCAGAAAGCGAGTAATGGCGCTATAGCCAGCCCTAAGCCATAAAAGGCTAGGGCAAGAGTTAGTGCTCATGTCCCAACCGTCAAAAGAAAATGGAGCATCACTTAACCTTTCTAGCTTTGATGCTTCCAACGACCAACCAATCATATAATTACCAAAATCGGAACGTACGAGATGTCCACGTCCACGAATCATCTTGCCCCTTAAATGCTGCACAGTAGGCCTGACCGTTCAGATATGTTTGACACATCTTCGATGTGAAACATATATCAAATAGAGAAGAAAAATGATGTAGGTATATATATCATTTTCCAGGATGCTTTCAAGAACTAGCTGTGTTGGTGTTAGATTAGATTAGATTAGATAAACTTCACTGGAAAATTATTAATAATGGATTAATTACAAAGTAAATGTGTTGGGAAGTGGCCCAAATCCTTCGTAGACTGGAACTGTTGGGGATGGCGATCCCAACATCGAACGATACCTTGAATTTCCAGTCAGGGGGTTTGTAACCGTTCGAGAAATTTCGCTGAGGTTTTGTTCAAACTCAGTGGCTTAAGCGCCACTCTCGATTAGGAGAGACCACTGGTCGTGTTGAAACTTTGCCCGACAATTGAGACTTTTCTCTCAGAGGACCTCTTGAACGGTCGTTGGTTACTAACGGTAAAAAACTACTAACTTTCTGGAAATGCCAAGTCCTTCAGTAGTACGGGAATGGAGCGCATGGACCAAATAAATAAACCAAAGATATTACTCTGACTCACCCACGAAACGAAACGGAAAGAGAACGAAGGAATGCTTACTCAACTGAGCGGAAACGAAAGAAAACAGAACGTAACGTAGTAAGTGTGTTTTATTCAGGGAGTAGCATTCAAAACGTTCTAAAACTAATCTTCAACTTTTTCTTTAAACTATATTTTAGCATTCATTCGCATTGGATTTCTGAGAGGGGAGTACGGAAAAG